CAGAAAAAACAGAGCTATCAGGGTCTCCTGGGCTAAATCTGGCTCCAGGTACCCAGGTCAGGTCAAGTCAAGTCAAGTCAGCTAGGCCCAGCCCTCCCTTTTTCTTTATATAAGCAGTAAAGAGTATCCCTAAATGTGAAACCTTGGGAAAGAGCATGGCTTGGTCATTACTTTATTCTGAAGCACTGGAACAGGAAGCAAGTTTCAGGAAACAGTGGCTTATTGGAGGACTGCACATTTCTAAGATATTCTTTACTAAATGGAATGTTTAATAAATGTACTCTATTCAACAAATAGAATTAAAGATTGGCAAGCCTCAGGGAAAGAGGCCTTTCTCAGCCAGCCCTAAGGCCACTAAGTGTGGATGGGAAATTGGTGTGCAGGACCCTGGGGCCCATAAAAGCAGAGTTAGAATCCTGTAACCACTTCTGGGTTGGACCAGCCATAAAATATCAGGGAGGTCTAGTGTTCCAGGTACTTCCATAGCATAGCAACATGAGCTAGGTCAACAGTGGAAATGGTAATAAGCCCAGATAACACCAAAATAAACTTTTAGAAAAGAGGAAAGAATTTTGATAAAAAGTGAAGGACTCATGATGCATAAAGGTTTCAGCTTTAAAAGGCATATGAATCTAGTGGATGAAGGAACAGACCACAGCCACTGAAGAATGACAGAAAAATCCAATAATTTGTCAGGATTGAGTACCAAGGCCAACTCAAAATGAGAAGAGCAAGACATTGAAGCTGTTGGGCTGACTGGTTACTTTTAAGGCCTTTATTTTGGCCAACAGAGTTTAATGACCAGAGTGGCATTTCTCTCCATAAGTTACAGACTTTGGGGGTTTTTCTCAGCAAAGACTATTATCTTCAATATCCATTCTTCTTTTTATTTCGTAGCAACAGAACCTCTGACCTTTTAGCTGAATACATTTCCCAGGCTCCTTTGCAGATACATGTGAACATTGGATTGATTTCTGGACAATCAAATGAAAGAAGAACTGTCATATGCAATTTACAGGAAGTGACCTTAAAACAAAGGGATGCAACTTTTTCATCCCTTTCTCCTTTCAGCCAGCTGGAATATAGGTGTGAAAGCTAGAATTTGGACAGCTATAGGAGACCATGAGGGGCATAATGATGATGGGACAACAGCAAAATAGAAGAGGTCTTAGACTCTGGACTTCTACATGCAAAAATATTAACTTTGTTGTTAAATTTTACTGTCATATGTGGCCAAACTTAATCCTACCTGTTACAATCTCACTGAAAGAAAAACAAACAAAACCCCTAAACAAAATCCCCAAACCACTCAGGGAATAGTGCTTTCAGAGATTAGAGCAGAATATTTGTTAGGCTTTTCTCAAGCAAATAGAAAAATTTCTCAGCATGTGAAGAGGCATTTTGCAAGATGTGTTTAGGATACCAAGAATCAGCTCATATTAGGGCATTTAAGGATTCTGGGAGGTGAAGAGAATTTGATTAAAAATCTTACAGCCCAGGTATACTGAGCAGATACAGGGAGTAGGCTGGGGGGGGGTCTCCTTTATGCATAGAAGACAAATGGTCATTTGAATGCTAAAAACATTGTTGACTTAACCTGCACCAAGAAATTATGCATTCCTGGGATATTTGCAGGCAAATAAACACAAAGTAACAGGCAACCAAAACCTTTTGAGAGCTTAAAGGAGAGGAAAAACACAGGTTGTATCATTTGTAAATATATAACATCATAAATGAGAAAAAAAATTGTTCTGAACACTGGAAATGCAGGTGACACGAATACAGAATAAGAAGTCATTTAGAGAAGATCATATATTGCTATAAGACACGAATTATATTTGCTTCCTAATAGGATCATAAACTTTGATACCCTCCTGATCTGTTACAATATAGTTAAACAAATCCTCAAGCATATTAAAAAGTAAAATAGATGCAAATTCAGCCCTAAAACTTAACATAAAGGTGACATTTCAAATTAGTAGTGAAAAAGACTGAAAATCTCAACTGATTGACTAACTGAGGGTGTGGAAGATTACACAAAGAGGGTGACCTAGACCTATATGATAGAGCTAAGGTGGAATTTTTTTTAAAAAATGACATTTTTATATTTATTTTTGTGGCATTTAGGATTAAACTTAGCTGTACCAGTGAACTTCCTCCCCAACCTTTGTAAGAATTTTTTATTTTGAGATACAGTCTAAGTTACCCCAGCTGGACTTGAACTTGTGATCCTCCTGCTTCAGCTTCCTGAGTAGCTGAGATTTACAGACATGCAGCACAATACCCACCTACACCCAGTTATTTCTATATTTATTTGACGAAAATTTTAAAATGAAGTCATGAAAAATTAAATAAAATCTCAAAAAATCGTTTTTGTTTGGTAACACTGGGACAGATAAGTTTTTTCTTAGGGGAAAAAATCCAAAGTGACAACAATACAAAAAATAGTTCATTTTGATTCCATTAAAAATGTTTAATTGTGGGCTGGGGATGTGGCTCAATTGGTAGCGCGCTCGCCTGGCATGCGTGCAGCCCGGGTTCGATCCTCAGCACCACATATAAACAAAGATGTTGTGTCTGCCAAAAACTAAAAAATAAATATTAAAATTCTCTCTCTCTAAAAAAAAAAAAAAAAAGTTTAATTGCGTAAATTACATAAATATAAAATATGCATGGTTAATTAGGGTAAATATTTATAATATATGATGACTCAAAATGATAATTTTCCTAACATATATCTGCCTACCTCTTACAAATAAGAAGATACACCGCAGAAAAGAAAAATAAAAGAACACAAACAATTCATAGAAAAAAAAAATCAGTGGCTTACAAACAAAGGTGAGCTATATAATTTATAACCAACGAAATAAAAATTAAAACATGTTTCATTGATCTACTAGAAAAGATGAAAAAGTCTGATATATACAATGATAGCAAAGAAGAAGGAAAACAAGCGCTCGTCGTGTGTGTGTGAAGCACTGGGTTGGATCCTCAACACCACACAAAAATAAATAAGTAAAATAAAGGTATTGTGTCCATCTACAACTAAAAAAATATTAAAAAATAAATTATAAGGGAGCAGTCCCTTTGCTGATATGGAAAGCTAGCCAAGATAAATAACAATAATAATTTATAACTGTCTTTTAACTATAAGTTATAGTTTAAACTAGTGATATCCAAACTTTTTTATTTATAGCATAATTTTTAGCACATGACTCCAAATGTTTCTTTATAAATGATATATATATATATGCTAAACTGAATTTACATTATAACACTACCCAAAAAATTTTTAAAAATCTCTTTGAAGGTATTGGCAGCAAATTTGGCCAGAATCGATTCAGGATTATCAATAGTCTTTGTCTTGTTTAGTGTGAAATTTGAATATTCATTCTTGATTTTTGGATACTGCCCAAAACTTGGAGGAAGGCATTAGATAGTGTGGAACGTGCACCCATGAATGTGAACAGGAACAATTCTGAAAGCCATCAGGCCTCAGGCGTTCTGGATAAAGGATTGTAGACCTGCATAACCCTTCCCTGAAGACTAGCAAATAGCAGGTGCTAATAAGGACTTGTTGAATGAGTAAACTCTGACTCATCCATCAATTATTTTCTTATGAGGCCTATACAGGTGATCATATTCCTAAAGATTCATGGCCACAGATGCTATCCAATACTTCTGCCTGCCTTTTATAGTTTTTGCTTGTTTTGTGTATTTTTATATCTTATTATAAAAACCACTAGCTATAAATTCTTGGGCTTACTGACATCAGCTATAAATTCATGGGATGATCACTGTCTCTAACCAAAAGCAGCTGCTTCTTCCCTCCTATTTTCTAGAGCATTAGGAGCAGATAATAAGCTCTGTATAAAGTTAACTGGCTCTGAATGAAGTCTCAGGGGTTTTGCACTGAGTTGGGTGCACACTTGTAACAAAAATTTTGGCTGCTTAATGGGTCTACTTCCTGGTTCTCAATGTTTGGGAATAGAGAAGTTGCCAGATGACCAGTAAATTAATTTATTATTTTACTATAAACATGTATAAGCAGTATACACAGTTAAAAATAATTCTGAAAATTAAGTACTGGAAAAGTAACCTCCCTGAGGGCAGGATTTTTGTCTGTTTTGCCCAGTTTCATTCCCATGGTGTATCACAGTATTTAATAGAAGAAGGAAGAAGCATGTTGGGTTGGGAGACTCTTCTGCCCTTACAGAAGGCAGATGTGTAGATAAGGCAGAAGCTGTAAAATGCTAGAATTAAAGGCAGATGAAGCAAGTAATATTTTTAAATGACAATGTTTAGAAACATATTAGTTTGGCAGATCAACTCTTCAAGAATGGGGGAAACAGTTTCAGAAGCTTACGGTGTATCTTAACTTCCAGAAAAAAAGGAAAATGATATTTTAAGCCAACTGGCCACTTAAAAAGGTCTAGACTCAGTATAACTTCTCTGGTAAACTTCCAAGACGAATGCATTCTATAGTATTCTCAGCTAACTGCCTCAAAGGAAGGCACAGAAAGTTCTGCCATACCGAAAACATGAGGAGTGAGGTAAGAATTACGACTTGTACAGTTCTGAATTCATAGGTGAGACCTAGGAATTCTGATTGAAAGCCCAAGGCCTGTGCAAGCGCTTCCAAAGCGTTCCCAGGCCAAAGTAGCATTGGGTGACTGTGAATGTGCTACTATATCCTCCTTGAGAACTCAGGGGGTGGGAGGGAGAAGGCAAAGTTGGAAAAAGGCAGGGATGTTTGGGGGTCAGTAGGAATAAGAAATGATGCCAAGTAAGACTCGGAAAAATCTCCAAATTCGGTCTAGGTAGGGGGTCTTGAGACCAGCTAAGGTTCGAGGACAGAGTGTGAGCCTGGGTGGAATTAGAGGAATGAAAAAACAAACAAACTGCAGAATTCTAAAGGGGCCGCCCAAACTGTAAACCTCAGGGTTAAGAAAGGCCAGGCTGTGGGAAGCCAGCTCAGGCCAGATCCGCCACGTTCCTACCGGTCCGCACGCGTTCAGCCGCAGGTCTTGGAAGTCGGCTCCGTATATAGCTTCCAGGGCCTGCAGCTCGTGGTCCTGCCGCTGCGGGTAGCTCTCCTGAGGTTCATCCCGGCCGCGCCCGGGAACCCCGCGGCCCCCAGTCATGGCTAAGCGGCTGCCAGGGGAGCGCGGGGTGGGGTAGGGGGGGTGTGACAGGGAGGGGGAGGGGGAGCAGATCGGAGGGGGGTGGTGTGGGGGGGGGGGGGGGGGCGCGGGGGGTGAGGTTCTTTGCCTCACCTCTGTTGACCCCCAAATTTTAGCTGAATGATCATGACAAGCAGAAGGGAGGAAGATATACCAAGTCAATTGATGGCTCCTTTTGGGAAAATTGTACCACCGATGATATCATCAGCAAAAATACCCCAACACTACCACAAGTCGCTGCACC